CGATAGGGGGGGTGTATTATTATGGGAGGATTGGAATGAGGGGGGGAGGGGGAGTCCCCTATATTTCAGGTGCGATTAGGGATTCCTGTGTCACAAACTTGCGTTTTCCTGCAGCAGGAATCCCTAATCTGGCGTTTACATGCAGCAACTGTCACCCATTCAAATTAATGATTGGGTGACAGCTGCTGCATACCGCATGTAATATGATTACATGCAGTTACAAAAACAATCACTATCCCTGGATACACAATCCAGGGATAGTGATTGATTCCTAACTGCATGTTAAGCCCGTGACACATTGCGTGCAGTGTGTGAGTGCAGTCAGATGATTGACTGCACCTTCAGCCAATCGGCTCGTCCGTAACAACCAGCCAGATGTCGCATGCCGACGCGCTGGTTTATACGCGCGAGCCGATTGGCTGAGGATTACATTTTTCATCTCGGCACTCAAGCTGAGCTGCCGAGGAGAAAATTACAGGACACACTGCTCGCAAAGGCAGCGCGCCACCGCGTGCAGTGTGTCACAGCATTAATGCTTTCACATATGATTACATGTGGTGTGCAGGCGTTTACATGCAGCAGCTGTCACCGATCATTAATTTGAATGGGTGACAGTTGCCGCTTGTAACATGTGCAGACATTAAAACTGGTACCGTATATAGTAGCGGCCCCCACGGGACTAAAAAATGTGTTCAGTGGCCCCCAACTAAATTGAGTTTGATACCACTGGTGTAGGGTATTGGCTGTCAGTAGGGAAGTGGTGCAGCGTGTAAGTTATTGGTGGTCGGTGGTGCAGTGTGTAGGTTATTGGGGGTCAGTAGGGAGGTGTGTAGGGTATTGGGGGTCAGTGGTGAAGCGTGTACGTTATTGGCGATCGGTGAAGTGTGTAGGTTATTGGGGGTCAGTAGGGAAGTGTGTAGGGTATTGGGGGTCACTGGTGCAGCGTGCAGGTTATCGGTGGTCAGTAGAGAAGTGTGTAGGGTATTGGGGGTCAGTAGGTAAGTGTGTAGGGTATTAGGGGGGTCAGTGGTGCAGCGTGCAAGTTATCGGTGGTCAGTGATGAAGTGTGTAGGGTATTGGCGGTCAATTGTGAAGTGTGTAGATCATTGGCTAAGTGTGTAGATTATTAGCGGTCAGTGGTGAAGTGTGTAGGTTATGGAGGTCAGTGGCAAAGTGCACAGGTGCAATGCAGGTCAGTGAACAACTGCCACCAGAAATGGGTCTCGGTGTAATACTTCAAGCCAAACTAAAACAACGTGACTGCCCCTCCCTGCCATCTCCACTGCGTGAACAAAAGACTGTGAAGGCTGCTGCACGCAATAAAGTTTGTGATATTCAAAAAATACGCATCTTCGCTAATGAGAATGTTACTGGCCAATGGGGGCAAGGACTTAGCCGTCGTCATCGATTGGCGACGGAAGTGACGTGTGGCACTTAGAAGCTGTCGCCGGCTAGGGGAATATGGAGAAGCCGAAGAAGGAGCGTTCCTGTACAGAAGAGGAGGGGGAGGAAGACTTCCATGACTGCACGGAGGAGCCGGAGAGGCTGAATGGAGAGTCAGAGGAGGAGTTCACCTTCCTGGAGGCAGAAGGACAGGCCAAGGAGAGCAGTGTACAGAAGAGTAAAGCTGAGCCCTTCACCAGGGAAGAGGGGGATCCTGAGCCGGTTACGGAGAGAGGAGATTCTGAGCCTGTCATGGCAGAGAAGGGAGATCTCGAAGCTGTCACTAAAGTGAAATTAGATCCTGATGTCACTAAAGAGAAAGGAGGTCCTGAAGTTGTCTCTGAGGAGGAAGAAGATCCTGAAGTTGTCTCTGAGGAGGAAGGAGATCCTGAGGTTGACATGGCAGAGAAGGAAGTCCCTGAGCCTGTCACCAGGGATGAGGGAGATCCTGAGCCTGTACAGGAGATTGAGATGGATGAGGAGGCCCTGCAGGAAATGGAGAAGGACATGAGTGAGGAGGAGAGAGAGGTGAATTCTGGGACTTTATCTGAGTGACAGACGGATGATATATTTGTGAAGATAATATTGGTGAATTAAGTAAAGCTTGCATGCACTGGTGGCATGCACTCCATGCCATCAGGAAGCTGGGCAGCAGGTAATTACATGCTACCCAGCTTCCTGATTGCCAGGGAAGCTGACTCCATGTTGTTTGGCCGGCTTGATCGTGATTGGCCAGGAAACCGGCTTCCCAGCCAATCAGCATCGAGCCAGCCAATCAGGAAACCGGGCGGTGAATAATGGCCTGATTGGCCGGGAAGCCAGCTTCCCAGCCAATCAGGAAACCGGGGTGGATTATTAGTTGCCCCGCTTCCTGATTGCACGGGAAGCTGGCTCCATGTTCCCCTACGGCACTGCCGGTCAGAGGAAATCTTCCGCTGACCAGAAGTTCCAATATTTATTTGCATGCAGATGACGGTGGCAGCGGGGTTGGTTTTATCTTTTTTTTTTTTTTTACTTTATCACTTTTATTTTTTTAATTTTTATGTTTTATTTTTATAATTTTATTTTTTTAATTTATATTTTTTTCTCCCACTTAATTTTATTCCTATCACATAGGGCTTAAAAACTCCTATGTGATAGTTTGGAGGTGACAGGTTATCTCTATGGAACCTGCCCTCCAACACAGAACTGATGTTCTGTGCAGTTCCTGACGGCTGAGACAGGTGGCGCTGTGATCACAGCGCAATGGTCTCAGTGATTACACAGAGCAGATGAAGAACGTCCATTCTTCATCTGCTCTTCGGGCTCTATGGTGAGCTTGTGTGCCGTGGTCACGGTGGCGGTGACCGGACACAATAGCCGCCGATCCTTTCATACAAGTGATCTAATTAGATATTCGATATTCAATATGTGAATTGTATAAAAACGAGCGGCGGCCCCACGCTGTACATTTAGCTCTGCTTGTCCGGAGCAGGGCTAAAAATAAACTACTCGCCCGGTGCCCGAAACTGCATGTCCCGGGTGATAGGAATTCCACACCCCTGATCTGCCAGCCTGCTCTGCAGTTCAGGTGAGTAAAACTTTTTTTTTTTAGCACCTAGACAAAAACAAGCACTTAACCCTTGCAGTGCAGAGGTAGCCCAACTGCAAGGGTTAAGAAAAAAATCTGCCCGGAGTTCTGCTTTAACGAACAGTTAATGAGCTTTCATTTTCCTCTGTAGCTACAGGCACTGTGGAGTAATTCATCCTCAAAATTCACAGCAGATGCTCTGTAGTCATCCAAGTCATTCTCTCAGCAGCTCTGCTTCTCTTTCCCAGAGCATCTGCTCTGTGTTTATATCAGAGATGAGAAGACTGAGTCACTGCTGGGAGCGGAGCAGGGTGAGATGAGCTGCTAAGTCATTCTTGGCAGTGGGGAGCAGGGGATAATAACTAATGGATTTCTCTCCCGTTCATTGAAGGACACAGGGCAACAGATCGTAGATCCTGTATGGTAGGGTAATATCGCCACCTGCAGGAGAAGGACGCTAGGCACAAAACTAAAGACCAATTACAGCCTAGGGGCGGCCCCTGCCGGTGGCCAAACCCCCCACCTGCTGACAAGGGAGGGGTAGCTGTGTGACTTGAGCTCCTGAGGAAACAGTTTGGTCTTTGAGGAGCTTCAGAGGTCATGAGGGCTTGTTTTTAGTCAGATTTACTTCTTGTTAAGGATATGGAAATCCTTGAATGTCCAAAGCTAGAACACCAGTTTATCCACAGGCAGGCAAATTATATAGTGACCTGTTTAGCCATTCAATCATAAATACGTTGCAAAAGGTTTTTGTCTGCCGACATGAGCTCAGGATCAGTCCTGCCTGTGCTATGTAACTGTCATAGGAAATGATCAAAATGATCTTGTCTTGAGTTCTGCTTGTTGACATTAGTTAAGGTGTATGAGAGAACTATTGTCTCCGCTGTGTTTACAGGCTTCAGTCTCATCCCTGCCTTAAGGTGCCCATACACCTTACTAATATCCAAAGCAACTCTATACAGCACTCCCTCCTCTAAACACTGCTTCAAGTCACTGAGACTTCTGATCGAGCTAAAATCCATCAGAAATCGAAGAATTATTTATGGAGCTTTTACAGGAACTTTGTGACTTTTAACACCAGCATTGGTATAGTAGGTACGGTTCCATCGGGAGTCTGAGTGAAATAAAGCAGTGTTTACTTTTGAAAGAGGGAACATCTCCTCGACGTAGCACTAGCAGGGAAAAGAGCACATTAATCTGAAAGTAAACTAGTAGGTGATTGTCTCCCTACTGTGACTGGGGAGACTGCTCCTTTATCCTGCTTAAAGCAAGCCCCTTACCTGGTGTCGGTAAGGCCACAAGCAGACTAAGTTTCACAGTGATTGTTATGCAAGCACTGTTACTGCACTGCCATATTGACTGTATATCCCACTCTGCAGACAAAAGGCTATTAGAATATTCAAAACTGCAGGGCATGCTATATCGCTTAGGAAATAGGGTGCCCTGTAGACCCCTTCTCCAGGCTACTGCTGGTGTAAGATGGCATCACAGGGTAGAATAAACAGTTTATCTTGCTGCAAGAACAGTGTAAGCTACAAAATCCTGCTGGCCCACACTCTGCAGAGGCGAAGTGATCTTTGAGGCTATATTTCCTCTTTGCCTGGAAATGAGGTTTAAGAAGTTAATCTTCCTCTTTGATTCCGGGTGTCAGTATTCTATTTTGGAAGCTGTCGGTGAGTAATAATGGTCAAATGTGTCATACAACTTTTCAATGCTGTCATTGCAGTATATTCTGTTGCAGCATATCTTTATTTCCATGACTAAGAACTCCTTCCCATCCATACAGCAGCATGTTAACAAAACAGCAGTCCATGAGCAAAGTTCCACACTGCACTAGAATAACAATAATGACCCTGTCTGGAGATGGCTATGGGGAACATTATTTATAAGTGTGGTTTGTTTTTTTTGGGGGGGGAAGGAGTAGTGATGTTTAGACATGAGTGTAAACCAGTCATTGCTCTTGTTTTCTTAAAGGACAGAAGAAAGGAGAGCACTCATTTAAAAGAAGAAGGAAATGAGCTGTTTAAGAAAGCAGGTAAGCAAAGCTTCACTTTATGAAACCAACTGTAACCAGTCAGGTTGTTCTATGGTGGGACATGGGAACCATGAAGATCTTAAAGGAGAACTATGGGGTAAGTGTTTTTCCCCATAGTTCTTCTAAGGGTCACAGGAGGACACAAACTAGCGTCCTCCCGTCACCCAAAGCTCAGTATACTGAGACCGCCGCAGCCGAGACGGATCCCGACATTACTGTCGACATCCACCATGCTGCGTGATTGACAGCTGGCTCTGCCTATCTAGAGGCAGAGCCAGCTGTACCCACCCCCTATCCCATCCGTTCCGCCAGTCAGCGCTGGAGGATCGGAGGGGGGAGAATCCCGGCAGGGAGCCCTGAGTGACAGTCACGTCTCTCTGCAGGGAGATGATAGAGAAGTGAGCGAGCGACGGTATGTGTTCCCTCACTTCCCGATCTCCTGAGCCGACCTGTGACAGTTTAATTGTCACATGTCGGCTCGAACTATGAGGTGAGTGAAAATCACTTACCTCATAGTTCTCCTTTAAATAAAATACTGAGAAGCACAGCAATGTCTTATTACTAATATTACATATAAATATTTCCAGTCCGACACATTTTTATATATTAACATATTTACCTTGAATAAATCCTATTTACAGTGCTCAATAGCTCAAGCTCAGATGTGCTTGTACAACTGAGAGAATCAACTGACACTCCCCCTTCCTGTTTGCTCTATATTGCTCCACACAGTTGTTCAGTTTCATTTTCTGAAATGTTTTGTTTTGCTTCGGCCCAGATTATGTTGAAGCTGAAGACGTCTATTCTCGAGCTCTGCAGAAATGTCCAGCCTTTTACAAAAAAGACCGATCTGTTTTGTTTTCCAACCGAGCAGCCGCGAGACTGAAACAGGTACAGAGATGCTTAGCTGTTAATGCTGGTGCAATGTTGAGATTGAGCAGATGTGCAGTTAACTATTTACAATGACATGTTTCAGACCAAAAAGGTGGGAAACCCGTGAAAATTCATGCTCAGAAAGTTGTGTGAAATTTAGAAAAAAATCTCCTTTTGTCTCTTGGTATGGTTAGATAATTAGGATTTTTACTTCACTCAGAGTAATATGCATTACATTCTGGGGAAGTTTTGGCTAGTATACAGTAAATGAACCTGAAGGACAAAGCAACAGGTTCTATTTCATCATGTTCCCCCACAAATAAGCAGCATATACTTATTCCTCTGTCATTCCCTGCTGCATTGTTTGGCTGGCGGGAAATAGAAAATTTTGCTTCGAGTCACTTACTGGTCCATACCCAGTAGCACTCAGCACTGACTTGCTTCATTGTATACCTGAACTCAAGAGTGAAGACTTGCTGCCTTATAGGGATTACTAAAGTGACACTAAACTCATGAGTTATATCTGCAAAATGCTTTCATGTACCTTAACTATTCACAAACCATTGTAAGTCACTCGGCTGTAGATCCCTAAATCATCTCTGAATTGGCGCTGACACTGTCCTTCCTTCTGGAGGGTGGCTACTTTTGTTCCCCATGGTCTCTGTGTGTGTTATGTAACTACCGCTCCAAGCTTGCTTCCATGATGGACTATAATCTCACGTTTAGTTTACTAATTTGTATTGAGTTTGTAGTCCATCACAGGAGAAGCTTGGGGCGGTGGCTACTTTACAGCACACAGGGACCATGGGGAACAAAAGATGATTTGAGGATTTACAGCTGAGTGATACACAAACTGCATTTGTGTTAATACTTGGAGTACTTGAATGCATTTTTAAGGTTTAACCCCTGAGTTTAATTGTGTCTAAGCAGACACCCTAAAGATGTACCTTTGTCTTGAATTTCTCCTGAAAAATAGCTGTGCTCTTCCTTTGTCATGAGCCTCATAATTGTATATCTTCTGTGTGAGATCATCTAACGCACTGCTGCCTCTGACTGCTAGCCTCAGCAGATTTGGAGTGAGATTTAGTGTTCATGGCTTGTGTTGATGGGCTTTTGCTCACCTTAAGCCAATCCTGCATTCCAGTACAACTGTGTGTGTGTGTGTGTGTGTGTGTGTGTGTATATAGATATCTATCTATCTATCTATCAAGGTAGCTAGCTATATATATATATATATCGATAGATACTTGTCCAAATCCTCACAGATACCAGTACTGATACGTTTTTGTTTATTGTCATGTGACAGTTTTTTCTAAAACAATACAGACTTCATTTCAGGATAGTGGGGGAGCGCCAGAGCCAGGTCCCAGCTGCAACCCTGGTAGTTCTCGTGTGAAAGCCAAGTATCGGCACTGGTATCTGAACATTACTAGATTCAATACGTGTGTGTGTATATATATATATATATATAGCATTATATGATGTAACACTGAATTTGATCACAGAATAAAGAATCGCTAACTTTGGCTCAGAGTTTTAGTCCACATCTTAGGCAGTTGACTTTTGGGGGCTTCGGCTGCACTATCCTGATCAGGGCTTTTTCCAACTACTTTCATTTATATTGCTTTGCCACCTATGTGCTGATTTGGTGCTTCCACTGAGTTGTGGAAAAAGATTGCAGCAAGTCTTGGCTTCACAGCATATGAATGAGAATGGATAGACCTTTGCCCCTCTTCCTCTGTCAGTATATACCCAGCTTTAGCCTCATGTATTGCAGTATACATCAAATATCTCATGTATAATTTCATAATCTGCTTTTACAGGACAAGCAAGATCTTGCACTAATAGACTGCACCAAAGGTATGTTTGTTTTCTGGATATATCTCATTCTACATTTGAATGCAAGAATTTGCATCTTCTGTAGATTTCCTGTGTAAAACTAAAGTAAACTTGACTTGGCCTAAAAAGCATCAAAGGCAGGGGTAAGCAGCCTTGGCACGCCAACTTTTCTGGAACTACAAGTCCCGTGATGCTTTTCAAGACTGACAGACTCCAAGAGGCAGAGACATGATGGGATTTGTCGTTTCAGTACACCTGGAGTGCTAAGGTTGCCTACCCCTGGTCTTGGGTAACAATATTGCTGACATGTAGCACCTTGAGGTGCCTGCGAGATGCTGTGTTAGTCTTATAGTAATTCTGTGTGGAACCTATGGGACTAGGAAGTAGATGCTGACTCTGGGTGATTTCTGAACATAGATGGCACCGGCCTTCAGAAAAAGGAAAATGAAGTCATTGTCAGGGTTAGATCGTTGGGGGGAACCCTCCGCACACCTCACAGCAGTCCCGGCCAGTTAAGAGATGATGGTGCTCGCAGTGACATTGGTTCACGGATGGCGCCGTGCAGAAACCGGAAAAAGCAGGGAATCAGCAGCACTCAGTAATCAAAGCAAATATGTCCTTTTATTGGACAGAGGCGTCATAGAGATCAAAAGAGCCGACGTTTCGGGGCCACGCAGGGTCCCTTCCTCAAGGCAGAAAACATGACCAAATCATCACCAGGTCATGTTTTCTGCCTTGAGGAAGGGACCCTGCGTGGCCCCGAAACGTCGGCTCTTTTGATCTCTATGACGCCTCTGTCCAATAAAAGGACATATTTGCTTTGATTACTGAGTGCTGGTGATTCCCTGCTTTTTCCATTGTCAGGGTTAGCACTATTAAATCTGAAAGATGTAATAAATACACATTACTTTACTTACACATTACAGAACATTACTTATACATTACAAAACTTATGTTCTGTCTTAAACGTTGCTTTATGCAAAAAATATGCCTCCCGAGACTCAATCTGTATGAAGAATAAGGCAGCGTGCTGAATTGGCAGGATCTACAGGTAGTTTTCTTGCCAAGAAGACACAGAAGTAGAATGCGGTATAGTTTAAATACCGTTACATACAAGTGATGTTTTCCTGGTAATTCTTAAAGGTAAAGAGCCAAGTATCTCACAAGTCTGCTAGGCAGGAACTGAACCGACTAGCAGCAAATTAACAGAACATGATTGACCAAGGCTGCCCAAAAGTTCTCATACGTTAGTGTGTAAGCATGTGCATACAAGTTCCATTTTGTGTATGTAAGGTCAATTTAGATTTCAGCATTAAATGGTTGATTTTTCTATAATACTATATTATGTTCTAATTACAGCAATTGATTTGAATCCTGACTATGTCCGCGCCTTACTGAGGAGAGCTGAGCTGTATGAGAAGACTGAAAAACTTGACGAGGCCTTCGCTGATTACAAGTCTGTTCTGAATTTAGATGCATCATGTCGCCAAGCCAGAGAAGCCTGCATGGTAAACTTCTTTTAGCTGTAATATATTTATGTGAGAGCATCTGAAGCAATCGGCAAACCTAATCCATTGTATCCACTGAATGCTTCCAAACCAAAGAGTGCAGGGTCTGGGTCCCTCGTGTGGGTATTCCACCAGACAAAATGTTGATCACCTAAAAGGTACGTTTTTTTTAAAGCAGAAATCCAAACGCATTTAAATGCAAATAATGTCTTACACTTTGCAATTGTAAAGTTCCTCGTCATCCAGCAGGCACTGGAAATTCTAACATTCTCAAGCCGTATTGTTGGCTCTGCCTGCCTTCTCACCTTCTGGACTTAAGAACACATCCCCTTAAAGGGTTTCTAAACCCTCCGGTGTTTTTGCATATATCTACTGCTAGCAAGCAGTAGATGCACTGAGTGGCCAGATTATTATGATCACCCCATCAGTACTTCGTTGGGCCACGAGATGACTTCATTGGGCCACCTCGTGACTCCACGAGATGTTGAAAGGTGATGCGAGGAATCTGACACTGCGCTGTTGCCCTTCTGTTGTCTTGTACCAGTCTTGCCACTCTCTAAGTTCTGCCCTAACATTGACTAGTCGCTGGCGGCCACAATTCGCACGTTCAGAGGTGAGTGCTTTTCACTCACCTCATAGTTGTAGCCGATCGGGAGGTGAGTGAACACATACCGGCGTTCGCTCACTTCTCGATCCTGTCACGGCTCTCTGCCGTGACAGGGGAGGGGCTGGATTCCCCCTCCCCGCTCCGATCCTCCAGCGCTGACTGGCGGAACGGACGGGGGAGGGGGCGGGTACAGCTGGCTCTGCCTCTAGATAGGCAGAGCCAGCTGTCAGTCATGCAGCTGGGCGGATCCTCGCGGTATACTGCGGCGTCTCATCATACTGCGAGCTGCAGCTTGCGGTATACTGAGCCTAGGGTGACGGGAGGATGCTAGTTTGTGTCCTCCCGTTACCCTAAGGAGAACTGTGGGGAAAAGCCCTGACCCCATAGTTCTCCTTTAAATAACGTGGGGGTGAGGGGGAAAAATTTGCCTTTAATGTCACTTTAATGTTTTTGGGATAAAAATAGGGACAGGTGATCTGTAGTCCAGATCTTCTCACTACAGAAAGTTAGGAGCTCACTGGGTTTCTGGCAGATAACAGGTATTTCTTGAGATGGGGATAAAACAGTGAAATGTGCATGTATTGCAGAGATGTAATAACAATGTTGTCTTTTGTTATTTTGCCCAAAATTAAAATAACATTTGATTAATAGTTTAATGATTACAAAATCTTATACATTTGTTTTGTGCATCTTGCAGCGCTTACCTAAACAGATTGACGAGAGGAATGAGAAAATGAAAGAAGAAATGATCAGTAAGTAACCAGATCTTCCTTTCTGTTATACTGTCAGGTTTATTCACAAAAGCGTGAAGAGTTTGGAGAAGGCGGAGAAGTGAACAATCTAGGACAACATAGCTGAACTGGAAAGTGAGCTGAATAGGAGAATATTTCCGGTTCCGCTATGTTGTCCTAGATTGTTCACTTCTCCTGCCTTCCCCAAACTCTTCACCCTTTTGTGAATATTTTATGGCCAAATGATGGAGTCGCACTTTAAATTATGTAACTTTTATACATCAGCCCATGTTTGCCAAGTAAACCCCATTGCATTTTCCATCTTATTCAGTGCAACCCAAAAGTGTGAAGCCAGCACAGTGGCATACTGGTTAGCATTGTGGCCTTGTAGCCACCAGGGATACTGTCTGCGAGGTTGCTGTGAATGTCCTCTGGGTGCACTGAGATGGGTAACTTATTTGGCTTTCACCAAACTGGCCCTAATGTGTCTGTAAATGAAATGTGTAAACTTCCGCAGAGCCCGTGTTCTCGCTCTAGCACTCTCTCGCTCTAGCACTCTCTCGCTCTCTCAATATAATTGTGCTGCTCTGCAGGGGAAAACAAGAAGCTGGTAGAAAGACACCTTCAGGTGCTTATACTAGTGGGAGGGGGGAAGTATTTATCATTTCTTCTAGGGAACACTTGTATTGGCCCCCTGATTTTAGAGTTGCTTTAAAGTTTCCCCTGCCACTGTGTGGTTTAAACCAAACTAAGGGCAACTTGTGAAACAAAATCGAATACCTGCTTCTCCTGCAATGCATGGTCATTCTCATATCGCCAACTTGTACATGCAGCAGTGATGTAAAGCTAGCAAAAGGAACCACAGCACGCTGCAGGGGAGCAGGTGTTGGATACACATGGAAGTGGTGTGGATTTTATTTGCAGCTTGTTTATTGGCACTCTACCACTGCACTCTTCTGGTCCCCCCATATGCAGATATCCAACACTACCAGTTTTGTTAAATACCCAACTCTCACCACTCACTGTGGTTCCTCCTGGTCTTGTGTAGGAACCACAGGGCACAGCGAGCAGTTGTTCCAACACAAGCGGAAGTGTCGGATATCTGCTGCACCCAGGCATTGGCATTGCAGATGCCTTTTAACACACCGGCTGCTGAAAAGCTAAGTATACAGCATTTTGATTCACAGGCTGCCTTTAGTTTTATTTTGAAACCCCCCCCCCCCCCTCCCCTGTGACAGGGTCACTTTAGAGCAGTGGTGGCGAACCTTGGCACTCCAGCTGTGGCAAAACTACAAATCCCAACATGCATCTGCTTCTGGGAGTTATGTCTGTGGCTGTCAGAGCCTTGCTATGCCTCATGGGACTTGTAGTTCCAAAGCAGCTGGAGTGCCAAGGTTCGCCACCACTGCCTTAGACTGATGATGCGAGTTGTAGAGCTGACAGTGTTTTTGTTTATGTCCCTCAGGTAAACTGAAGAGTTTGGGAGATTTAGTTTTAAAACCTTTTGGATTGTCGACAAACAACTTCCAGGTCAATCAGGATGCAGATACTGGATCCTACTCCATCAACTTTGTGCAGAACCAGAGCAAGAGATGACATGCATACAACTGCCACAATGCCATTGTCACTCGTAAGGACAGACTTCAGTCTTCATTGATCAGCTGCTCCAAAAGATAGTCACAAATATATCAACGCATTCGTTTGTGGTGAACTCTGTTATAAGCAGGCATCATATATTTACCAACCTGTCTATAGAGGAGACTGCAATTTAAAAGATATTTAATATATTTTTTGTGTGTTTTTTTATTTTTCCATCTTTTTTTTTCCCCTTGTTCCAAACGTCTTATGTGTTATGTTCGTGTTTGCATAAAAATGATTTAGACTGCTGTTTTGTGAATTTTACTTACCTGTACCGCCCTCATGAAGTGCAGTAAAACAGGTTTTACTCCTTTTATTTATTTTAAAAAAATGTAAACACATTTAAAGTGAAGGTAATATGGTTGCAGCAGTGCACAGCCAGTCTCTGTGGTGACACGCTCACTGATTTATACAAGTGTCCCTGGACATCCAATTCCTAGTGAATTGAATAAATACTTTGAGGGGAGTTTATCAAGACCGGAGCAGACAGTATCCGGAGCAGTTGTGCACGGCAACCAATCAGCTTGTCTCTGCAGCTTCTTAAGTTACACTTTGAAAATGAAAAAAAAATAGACGCCGATTGGTTACTATGCACAGCTGCTCCAGATTCTGTCTGCTCCAGTTTTGATAAATTCCCCTCTTTGTGTCTCAGATTTTTGAATGTGTGAAAAGGGGAAACGTGCTGCCCCTAACAAGCAGTCATGTTCACTCAATCATTTTTAGTTGATGTGTATTACATTTTTTTAATCGTATTTTTTTGCACTGTGTATGATTTTAGGTAAATCTTCATCAAGTATGGGAGCTACAATAGTTGAATTGTTTATGAAGGTAATTGCTCTGTTCTGTCCACCCACTCCTGAGATTTGCACAACTCTGCCACACAGCACAGACCTGTCTGGAAGACCAGGAGACCTGATTTTTCTTTTGCTGAAGTTCAGAAACACTTACAAACTTTGTCCCTCCCCTAGCCTGTGACTGGAGAGTGAAAAGAGAAGCAGCACACACTCTCCTCCTATCAACATTCTCCTTGCACTGCAGTACCAGTAATTAGCCCCTTGTGCTGCTACACCCAGTCTGAGCTCCCCTGTACAGGAACTTCAAGAAGCTGATGCCAAGCCAATTTTTGGTGTTTACACTGCTTGCATTTAAAATATACATTTAATGATGTATTAATAAAGTCAGGGCTGTATTAATCTGTGTCTGTTATTTGTGTCTGAATCCGAAGGTTCAGCTTTAAAAGGATAGTAGGCGTTCTGCTGTAAAAGGTAGGGAGGTTTTAGGGCTGCTGCAGTTATAGGCAGCCCCCTTTAGGTGTCTGCAAATCATACCTGCAGCAGTGTGTATATTTTGCTTCTTGTCCATTGAGGGACACAGGAAGATGAATTCAGAGATGATTTGAGGATCTACAGCCGAGTGATACATAAATAAGATACATTTTTGTTAATAGTTCCGGTACTTGAATGTATTCTTAAAGGAGCTTTTCCCCATAGTTCTCCTTAGGGTGACGGGAGGACACAAACTAGCGTCCTCCCGTCAACCTAAGCTCAGTATACCACGAGCTCTAGCTCGCGGTATACTGAGACGTCAGAGCGGATCCCGACATTGATATCGAGATCCGCCCAGCTGCGTGAGTGACAGCTGGCTCTGCCTATCTAGAGGCCGAGCCAGCTGTACCCTCCCCCGTCCGTTCCACCAGGCGGATCGGAGGGGGGAATTCCTCCCGTCACGGCAGAGAGCTGTGACAGGATCGAGAAGTGAGCGAACGCCGGTATGTGTTCGTTCACCTCCCGATCTACTGAGCCGACCTGTGACAGTCTCATTGTCACAGGTCGGCTACAACTATGAGGTGAGTGAAAAGCACTCACCTCATAGTTCTCCTTTTAAGATTTCACTCCTGAGCTTAGTGTCACTTTAAAGACTAACTTATTTTTTGCTTGCACCTTTTTTTTTTTTCTTTTCTCTAGATCGTTGATTGAACCTTATCTCCTTTTACTGCAGCTACACCCTGTAACTATCCTCAGTCTGACATTTGAAGTTCCCTGCCTGTTCCCTAGCTGAAGACTCAGCGAGTAGGCCGGTCAGGCTGAGCACTGGGAGCTGCCTCATTTACTTAGGTCACTGGGTGATTTTCAAACTCCCAGTTTCCTGCTGGTTTCCATCGTAGAAGGGTTTAACAGTGTTGGATTGAGTGCTGACATCATCTGCTGGGTGGAATATCACACACATTGAAGGGAATTTATCAAAACCGGAGCAGACAAAATGTGGAGCAGCTGTGCATGACAACCAATCAGCTTCTCTCTCATATTCAAATCTTAACTGAACAAATTGAAGAGAGAAGCTGATTGGAGCTTGAAGAGAGCCACATAGAACACTGATCTTCGTTATGCTCCTTGCTGCCTGCCTCTGGCCATATGATCCTCATTTGCTACCAGCTGTCTGGGTTTTGCGAGTACCTGAGGACTTTCTTTGTGCCTTGAGCCTTACCCCCATGCGACTGCAGTATAACTGATTTCCGACACGGGTGGGGGCAGTGCCGCTGTACCCAGTGCCCCTAGCTTTCACTCTGAAATCATGTTGTCCTTGAGTCTATCCCATCATAGGATTCCTCTTTGTCTCCATCAGGTGTGCCTGGTTCCTCTCTCCTTTTGGCTGAGATTTTTATGACAATCATGCGAGACTTTTTTGCCCAAATCACCCAAATATTTGCTGACCCGAGGCCACAAGCACTCATTGACTTCGTGGCTTCTGAGCCAGTGGCAGCAAAGATTCTGAATCACTCCAATATTTAACTGATGAGCTTGCCCCTGAGGAGTCGCAGTCTTCTTCTATCACACCAAAATGAAAAGAGACCATTTTGGCTTATTGATATGCTTCACACCACACTGAGGCTAGACAATCGGCCTGTTGCTCCTACCAGTCCTGTTTCCAGTCTGAGCTCCTTCAAAGCTCCTAAGGCTCCAAAGGCTTTTCCATTGCGCCTGCTTTTCCTACGCTTTGTCTACAGAGATTGGCAAGCTGTTTGCTCCCCCTAAGGGATTATTGATCTTGTACCTGATTGGAGAGGATGCTGTACAAAAGTGGTTTATTCCCACTGTGGCGCTGGCAGTGTCCCACCTTAACTAGGTGCTTACTATGCCAGTGGAAGGCACGCCAGTCTTTAAGGACATGACTGATAAGCAGGTGGAAACTCTCTGTAGAACTCAGTCCTCACAGGCGGGTTTTGGCCTGGCTGTGATTTTAGTTTGTGAAGCCATGGCTGCTGCAGTTGATCCCTTGATTATGGAAAATGTGGGGAAAATGACTGTAGCTTTAAATCTCTTGTGCCACCATCTCTAGGTGGTTCAGGCAGAACACCATCCAAGCTTAAGGTCTCAAGCATCAGGTTCCCCCCTTTCCTGTCAAGGTGCACTCTTACTAGATGTGTAAATGTTTCTTGGACCCGTCAGCATCAAACTGTTTCCCAGATTTTCTGTTCACCCTAATTTTCTACCAGGTGGATGTTGAGGCCTCATTTGATGCCAGCTTTGGACATAAGGTCCTTCAGGGGGCTCTTTCAGCTGCAGCCAGTGCCCAGTTCTCTGTTGTTTTCTTGGGCCTGTTACCGTTTTGTTTGCTGTGTTGCCCACCCCTCAGGTAAATAGCCTACCTGTGTCCCTGAATGGACTCCATGAAAAAATCATTTTTGTACTCACCAAAAAATCTTTGGAGTCTATTGAGGGAAACAGGTCCTACCCTTCTGTGGTTATGATTATGCTCTCGGTACTGCTTTGCTACAAAAGAGTCATTTTGGTAGTAGGAAGGTTTATCCTGGGCTGACCTACCTGTTTTCTTTGTTTGCCAATGTCATATCTTCCTGCAGGTAGCAGTATAACCCAAAGGGGAAAGACATTTTGTGCCCCTTAACAAACTACAAGAGGAGGATTTTAGGGTACAATTACTTGCATTATGCTATGTTACCATGTAACACAGGGGTAGCCAAACTCGGGCCCTCCAGCTGTGGTGAAACTACAAATCTCATGATGTATCTCTCTCCGGGAGTCGTGGCTGTGAGAATCTTGCAATGCCTCATGGGATTTGTAGTTCCACCACAGCTGGAGGGCCAGAGTTTGGCTACCCTTGATGTAACAGGTCTATGCAAAATGTAATTATAAAATGTAAACAATATATAAAAGTGTTGAGTTTATTGAGATTTATCTTAAAGGAGAACTATGGGGTCAGTGTTTTTCCCCATAGTTCTCCTTAGGGTAACGGGAGGACACAAACTAGCGTCCTCCCGTCACCCTAAGCTCAGTATACCGCGAGCTACAGCTCGCGGTATACTGAGACGCCGCACAATTCTCCTTTAATGCTACACAATGTTCTCTTAAGACAAAAAAAATGACAACGCCTTAAAGAAAAACCAAAATCCAATGTTGGGTCTCAGAATCACACAAGTATATTTAATTGCAGAAAAATAAAGCAGAGAAATAGAAATTAAGCATCTTTAACTTTCCAAACAATGAGAAATTCTGTACAGGAATTGTAAGTATGAGCTCTTTAACCCAGGGACCTGGTTAGTCCAGAATTAGGGAAACGTCTCCATTCAGTCACAGTCTGGACTCATTTTTCAAAAAAAATTTTTTCCCATAAAACCTAAATGTGGAAAAAGTTGTAAGACCCCATTCACGCTGAGCAACATGGGGAATTGTGCGTTTTTCCGCGTGATTTCGTGCTGATCGGCATTGAGCTACATTGCGCGATATTGAGCGACAGTGCACATTTTTGTTGCGTACGTAGCATTACATTGGGCTGTAACAAACCAACAGCGGTCTTGATGTGACATCATTCTTTCCTTCCATATTGCTGTGCAAAAGTGACCCTTCTGTAGCGCGACATCGCGCGTCAAGGTCGTGCAATATCGCCGGTAATGCGTGACATCCCCCGAAAAATAGGTCATGTTCGAGCTACAGGTGACATTGAGCTGTGAGATGTGAACAGCTCCATTGAAATACATTGGACGAGCTACATTGAGCGACATTGCGTGGTAATATGCGCGATTTTGGAGCGGAAATCGCGCGATAAACCGCTCAGCGTGAACGGGGTCTAAAAGGTGGATTGCCAGGGTGACCAAAGGCATTGAAAAAATGCCACTCGCTGGCCTCTTACTGGTACTGGTAAGGTTTTACAGCAAGTGTGGACACGATAGTAAAATATTACAAGTTACCAGTCCTTAGATGTGGTGACTCGTTTTATTTCTCAGGCTAGAAATATTTTCAGTATGTACAGAAAATGAGGGAGTGTTGTTACCCTGGGACAGGAAGTGTGTTAGTCACAGGGTTACTAGGTATAAATAAAGGGAAAAATGGATGAGAAGAGAACTTGCAGCTTCCACATCTAAGGACTGGCAAGCAGAAATATATAAAATTTTGGTTTTGGGATTTAGATAAACTTTAAGCGCCGATAATTTCTGGCCTGCCCATGATTTGCTTAATTAGCCATAGAGTCAAGCATGTGTATATAGAAGAAATCCAGGTTGTTTTTTTTTGTGATAACCCTTGCAGTGGGGCGGCCCCCACGCTGCAAGGGTTAAGTGCTCGCTTGTGTCTAAGTGCTAAAATAACAAAATTATACTAACCTGAAGCTCCGAGCCGGCCAGCTGTCGCATCGCTCCCTCCAGCCTGCCTCCTCCCTGCAGCATTGGAATCTTTTTCAGCATCCTCACATCTATACACAGTGTATAGACCTAATGATTTATGGGACCTTCAGACAGCTGCAGAGGAGGGGAAGGACACTGGAAGGACCTGTCTAAGAAGCCGGCTCAGAGCTTCGGGTGAGTCTATTTATTTATTTTTAACCTAGACTGAAACGAGCAGTTGACCCTTGCAGTGGTAGCTCCACTGCAAGGGTTAATAAAACATTTCCTGGAGTTCTTCTTTAAGGCCAGATTTACACTGTTGTGGTGTGTTAATGTAGTCTATTGATTTGAAATGGGCTACCAATTCCCTACAATGCCGTGTGTAATTGGGCCCTTAGCATTACAAGATGCATTACAAGTGGGGAGACCTTTAGGATTTTGATATATATATAGAGTTGGATTATGATTGTTTTTTTATGGTAAAAATGGTGATCGGAGCATTTCATAATACTATAAATAGGCCCTTATTGTCCTGGATGGCTCATGATGCATTTTTCTGAAGGTAGAAATGTCATCATTCTTGGCCTTTATACAGGTCAGGAATGATGCACCCTAACACATAGCAATTGCTGGGATGTTGGGTGATACTGGACTATCCAGCCCTTTGTCCTGCTATTGTCCATAATGGAAAACTATCATATAATGAAAACTGCATTTCAGACTGATTGGTAGATTTTACATGTTTGCATAAAAGTGCTTGCCTCCCTATTTGTCTTTTAATGAGATGGCTCTTGCCTCCCTATTTGTCTTTTAATGAGATGGGCAGCCAATATGGAGGATTGGGATGCAAGAGGGAGAGGGGGCAAGCTCAACTTTTACCGGTAAAATTAATATTTGCATACACCTGCTTATACACTATATTGCCAAAAGTATTGGGACGCCTGCCTCCACACGCACATGAACTTTAATGGCATCCCATTCTTAGTCCGTAGGGTTCAATATTGAGTTGGCCCACCATTTGCCGCTATAACAGCTTCAACACTTCTGGGAAGGTGTCCACAAGGTTTAGGAGTGTGTCTATGGGAATGTTTGACCATTCTTCCAGAAGCGCATTTGTGAGGTCAGGTACTGATGTTGGAGAAGGCCTGACTCGCAGTCTCCGCTCTAATTCATCCCAAAGGTGTTCTATCTGGTTGAGGTCAGGACTCTGTGCAGGCCAGTCAAGTTCCTCCACCTCCAACTCGCTCATCCATGTCTTTATGGACCTTGTTTTGTGCACTGGTGCGCAGTCATGTTGCAACAGGAAGGGGCCATCCCCAAACTGTTCCCACAAAGTTGGGAGCAGGAAATTGTCCAAAATGTCTTGGTATGCTGATGACTTAAGAGTTCCCTTCACAGGAACTAAGGGGCCAAGCCCAACCCCTGAAAAACAACCCCACACCATAATCCCCCCTCCACCAAACTTTACACTTGCCACAATGCAGTCAGGCAAGTACCGTTCTCCTGGCAACCGCCAAACCCAGACACATCCATTGGATTGCCAGACAGAGAAGTGTGATTCGTCACTCCAGAGAACACGTCTCCACTTCTCTAGAGTCCAGTGGCGGTGTGCTTTACACCTCTGCATCCGACGCTTTGCATTGCACTTGGTGATGTAAGGCTTGGATGCAGCTGCTCGGCGATGGAAACACATTCCATGAAGCTCTCTACGCACTGTTGTTGTGCCAATCTGAAGGCCACACGAAGTTTGGAGGTCTGTAGCTATTGACTCCGCAGACAGTTGGCGACTTCTGCGCACTGTGCACTTCAGCATGCGCTGACCCCGCTCTGTCATTTTACGTGGCCTACCACTTTGTGGCTGAGTTGCTCTTGTTCGCAGTTGCTTCCACTTTGTTATAATACCACTAACAGGTGACTGTGGAATATTTAGCAGCAAGGAAATTTCACAGAACACCTGAATCCAATGATTTGGAAGGATGTCCCAATACTTTTGGCAATATAGTGTACATCTGGATCTAATGGGTTTTTTTATATGCAAAACCTGCTTATGCATTTTTATCATACTGTATGTTCAGCTTTATTGTCCAAAGTTTGTGACAAGTTTACTTTAGGGCTGTCATGGTATCGTATTCTCCCATGAGTTTCTTAAATAGAAAAATTGGGTTTCTATCGGAGACTTCTAAAAAAAATCAGTGTCTTGGTTTAGTGGGAAAGGCACAAGAGAAAATCAGATGTTGATCATGACAAGACGATCACATTAGAGGGTTTGTCCAGCTTTTCTTGGACAGCAAAGGCTCATAGCCATACACATGAGGTCATCATGTGTGATGTGTCGCTTCCTCTCGGCCAATCCTGTGCAATGCAGTAGACCATAACTGGCTGACAGTGCTGCTTCTCTGAGCCCAGCTGTGTAGGAAGCTAATATGAAAACGGATTTGGGTTTACAATGCACTTGATCTTGCTAATGAATACCTCACTGGATTTAGAGGTCATCTTTAATTATCTGCCAGCAGTTTATCTTTAAGATTTGCTCGTGGCATCTAAACAGGAACAATTAGCTCTTAAATTCTGCATTATTTTCTCCACAGTTCAATTAAAGCTGAAATATGACCAGGGAAAAAAACACTATTACCCCTTCACCCAGGTAATCCACAGCTTTTTTTTTTTTTTCGTAAGACACCCCCTCACCCCCTTATGCTTATCTTATTCCAGGGGTAGGCAACCCATGTACTCAGCTGTTGTGGAACTACGAATCCCATGAGGTGATTCATTCAGGACTTTGACAACCACAGACATGACAGAATTTGTAGTTTTACCACAGCTGGAGTATCAAGGTTGCCTACCCCTGCCTTATTCCATGGTTCGGTGAGCCTCATCAGTGCCGGCAAGTAGTCAGCTGAAGCCCTGACGTCCATAATATATCTGCACTGCAATTAGCAACTCGCCTCTCCATTTGACTGAACTCTTGCCAAAGAAATTGGTAGAATGTGGATGTTGCTAGAAGTAACAGTGTCTGCGTAAAAATTCCCCCCGACCACAGTATACTCAGCTGGCCCTCACTGTAACCAACTCTGTGGCTGCTACTGCACAATACCTGGTGCTTCCACGTATGGGAGTGCATGTAACCTGTTCATGTATAGTTGCTTTGTGGTTAGTACTTCTGCCTTGCAGCACTGGGGGGCCGGTTTGTAACCTGGTCAGAACACTATCTGCAAGGAGTCTGCATGTTCTCCCTGTGCATGTGGGAGGAAACCAGAGTACCTGGAGGAAACCCATTTCTCCCACACTCCAAAGACATGTTGAAAGGTTAACTGGCTCCTGTCTAAATTAGCCCTGTATGTATGCATGTGAGATAGGGACCTTAGATTGTAAGCTCCTCCAGGGCAGGAATTGATGTGAATATTCAGTATGTAAAAGTGCTGCATACATTTTCGGCGTTCTATAAATACCAATAGTAAATAAAAATAAATGATGCAGTGCTGGGGCGTAGCGGCCAACCTCTAGGTATGGGCACTGTCACATAAAGGAGGGGGTGACATTAGCCCGCCTTCAGAGCTCCAGTATTTCGGTGATCTTTAGAATAGTGGAGGGAGTATAAAATGAAGGAGGGGGTGACATTAGCGCTCCCTCAGAGCTCCAGTATTCTAATGATGTTTAGAATAGAGGAGGGAGCTGTGGGGGGAATACTGGAGAGAGGAGTATAAAATGAAGGAGGGGGGTGACAATAACGCTCCCTCAGGGCTCCAGTATTTTGGTGATGTTTAGAATAGAGGGAGCAGTGGGGGGGAATACTGGAGAGGAGTATACAATGAAGGTGGGGTGACATAAGCGCTCCTTCAGAGCTCCAGTATTTTGGTGATGTTTAGAATAGAGGAGGGAGCAGTGGGGAGAATACTGGAGAGGCGAGTATAAAATGAAGGAGGGGGTGACATTAGCACTCCTTCAGAGCTCCAGTATTTTGGTGATATATATGTTTAGAATAGAGGGTGCAGTGGGGGAATACTGGAGAGGCGAGTATAAAGTGGCCAAGAGGTGGGCATTACACAGACACGTCACTTTGTCCTGAGTGCGCAAGAAGATAGCGTCTCTTTAAGCAATATAAACATGACCATACCCAATCAATCTGTCAATCACAGAGTAGCAAAAAGACTTTCATGATTAAACTGATCACTCTAAACTATTTTATCTTTGAATGGCCAATTTTCATCACTGAGGACAGCTCATCATTCAAATACTTCACATTATTAGTTACGACAGTCATATCTTTGTTGCATCACCCGGACTATCATCCCATGCGTGACCAGCAAAGCACTTGTTGCTCCTCTATCATTTGGGAATGCTTTAGGGGTTGATGTAGCTCTACTACAGTTCCTCTTCTAAGAGTGAACAAGCCCAACAAGTATTAAAGTTCCAGTGCAGGTTGACGTAGTCCGAAGACCTTGCCGTAAATATCTTGGTCCCATATTCTTCATTGTGTCGGGTTATCCCTGGTCCAGTTGCTTTCAACTGCACCTAACACTGGTAAATTGCACACACAACAAAAATTCACAACTTCACAAATTAAATAGAAAGAAACAAATTGCAGTCACAACTCATTAAAACGTCATAAAATGTTCTTTGGAAGAAAAAAAAAAAAAAAAGAAGTTGAAGAAATGTGAAAATGTCAGTTTGGTGAACATGGTTCTCAACGAAATTTTTAGACTCATGCGTTCGGTTTTGCAATATTTTCTTAGCGCTATCTTTTTTTTTTGTTTGTTTTAAATAAAATTTACAATAGAATTAATCTGTATAAGTTATACTTTTTTCACAGCTCATTTTTGTTTTATACTTCACACTTTCCAAACAGACACAAAAACAATGTCTTTTTTTTTTTCCTTTACATGTACCATAGAAAAATTCCACTGGACCTTGCCGTTGTGAGAATCAGCGCGCAGCTTCTAGTGTGTATTGGCTAGAAAGAAAAAAAATTAAAATTAAAAGGGTATTATTTGGACTCACGGTTCCAAGTAAGCCATCGTTTTCTACAGGATTTAATAAATTCATGAGGGTCAATCCGTTAGGCTGCAATCATTATTGCACATTCATTTGTTTTAGATCTTGTAGAAATGTAGAAGCATTACATTAAAGAGACAATCCCTTCGCCCAATCAGGAAAAGGAAAGCGTCAGCTGATCGTCCACTCAGCAAGGGACACTCACCCATCTGAGCTCATTCACTGCCTCCCCTCTCCTTCACATCACTTAGTCCATCGCTCTAATGGAGCAGGGCTTCTGGGTATAAGGAAACTTGTCACAACCCTGTGTGACAGTGATTGGGCCTGATCGGCCAGTCACTAGGCTCCAACTCCAGAGCTTACCCGAGTGCACTCCTGCAGTGGGGTGGCAGCAGAACTGGAATTTGGATAATTAAAGTGAATATTCACACATTTTAATGTGTGAAGATGTTCAACTTCCTAGTAAATTGGGCTCACTGCATGGGGTTCAATGGTCATAGACTGATTCCTTATACTAATACTGTAGTTCTCACGTGTGACTGCACACTTCACAACTGATTTCTAAATGTTCCATTTCACCTTATTTGTAATAAGGGTGTTTAAAGAACTATTGTAAAATCTCTTGTGCTAGGTACCCGGACCACCACCTCAGCTATTAGGCCTCATGCACACGGGGCCGATCTGGGATTCCTGCTGCAGGTGTTCTGTTCAGATGCGGCCGCTATCAGTTATTAACCGCAATGGGTACAGCCTGGGCCGGATTTACTCTCTGCTGCCCTAAGGCCGGGTTCCTCAATGCGCCCCACTACCCGCCAACCCCCCCCCCCCTTCATTAAAAATGGCAACCAGATGGTGGGGGGATAGCAGGGTTGGTTTTAATTTTTTCTTAATTGTTTTTTTACCTTTTTCATCACGCTTTAAATATTTTTTCTATTTTTACATTTTTATTTGTCTTATCTTTTATAATTTTTTTCATTTTATAATCTTTTACTTTTTATTTTTTACTTAGCAATAAAGTTAAGTGAAAAAAAAATTGATGTCACACAGGAGCTAACAAGCCGCTGTGTGATAGCATTTGGAGGTGACAAGTTCTCTTTATTGAACCTGTCACCTCCAATACAGGAGTTCTAGCACAGCACTGTGCTAGAACTCCTGTGACAGCTGAAATGGGAAGGCTGCAAGTGCAGCTCTCCCATCTCAGTGTGTACACGGAGCAGAGCGGAGAACAGACGTTCTCCGCTCCCCGTGAATGAATGTGTCGGGGTCCCCTAGAGGAGCTGGGTACCCCAAAAACCACACCGGGAGAAGGCAGCAAGGTGGAGGTATGGGGCAGGCCATGGGGGGAGACGGAGATGCACACATATTAGCAGTGATGTCGGAAACATTGCTGGGATCACTTGTACTAAAACAGCGGCTTCCCAGCTGTACATTTAGCCCTGATTTCCGGAAGCAGGGCTAAATTAAGGGGGGGGGAAACTACACACCCGGCAGCTGTGCTGCCCTTCTGCTGCCTGCTGCCCCAGCCTCGGGGCCTTGTCGGGCCCCTGGGTAAAGCAGCTGCATCTGAGCGGGGACATCTGCCATTCCTGCCAC